CGAACCCACGGGCTCAGGTAATCCACTCACCTCAGCCTCCCAAAGGCGTGGGATTACAGGGTGAGCCACTGAGCCTGGCTAGCACATATTCTTTCTGTTCAACTGTTTGCACCCATTAACCAACCTCTCTTTATCCCCTCCCCCACCTTAACATCCTTCCCATCCTCTAGCGCCTCTCATTCTACTCTCTGCCTCCATGAAACCAACTTTTTAAACTCCTGCAAAGGAGCAAGAACATGTGATACTTGTCTTCCTGTGCCTGGCTTATTTCACTTAACATAGTGACCCCTAGCTCCCTCCGTGTTGCTGCAAACGACAGGGTTGCATTCTTTTTATGGCCAAATAGTGTTTTCATCGTGTATATATACCACATTTTCTTTATCTATTCAACTGTTGATGGACACTTAGGTTGATTCCATATTGTGGCTGTTGTGAATAGTGCTGCAGTAGACATGGGAGTACAGATAACCCTTCAGCATCTTGATTTCCTTTCCATTGGATAAATACCCAGTAGTGGGATTGCAGGAACTTATGGTATTTCTATTTCTAGTTTTCTGAAAGCTGTCCACACAGTTTTCCATAGTGGCTGTACCAATTTACATTTCCACCACCAACAGTGTATAAACAAAAAATCCCTGTCCTCCACATCCCCACCAGCATCTGCTATTTTTTGTCTTTTTGATAATAGCCATCCTAACAGGGTAAGATGGCATCTTGTCCTTAAATGTAGGTGCTCCTTACAATCACCTGGAGAACTTGCGAATGATACAGAGGCTGGGCTTCACCTTACAGGCTGATTCCATTAATAGAGGGATCCTGAAAACATGAATTTTTGCCCATCACTTTGCATTATAACTGCCCAGAGAGTCTGACTGAAATGTAGTTTCTATGGCCACAGACCCTGATTTTCAGGGTCTGAGGAGGGTCAGAAATTTTCATTTTTAACAATACCTTGGGATTCTGAGGGCCACTGTTCTGCCTGCTCTTAAAGCACTTTGAAATCTTTTAACATCAGGAACTTGGCTTACATTCTGGGCTCCAGAATGCCCCAAAATAGAGAAGGGGGCTCCCAGCCCCACCTTCACTAGTGGAGAGAGAAAAAGGCAACTTCCCGGGCCACCTTTCTTGCCTGTTTCCTGCTTAACTCATCTGAGGCTGGAACCCAAGGAGTAATTTACCACAAGAGAAGCTGATGTTCAGCTAAGGACTCTTAGGCTGTGTACGCATGGAGGAGGATTTTACAGAAAAACATGAAGTGGAGGTATGCCCTCCAATCCATGCTCAGGGCCCTCATGTGCAAGCCTGACTCACAACCACTGGTGCCCTTATCCGGTCTGCTCCCTGCCCTGATGGTCCGTGGCTTCTGGTTGGTCTCTAGTGCTCCTTCAGCTGTCGGCCCCAGAGGGCAGTTATTACCTGGCTGGAAGCAGCATGTCCTGAGTGTCTCAGCTTGCAGGAGGCTGCCTTGACGTAGTGACCCTCCGGCTGGATTCTGGCTACCCCGTGCCTGAGGCTGTGTTTGGGTGGAACTACTTGTCTAAATACATTGCTGTGCTCTGAGGACTCTCAGGGCTCTCCAAACAGCCTGTCCTAATGGTGAGTTGCTTGTGCCATAAGCAAGGCTGTGCTGGTTAGAGGAAACATCTGCCCTGTTCTCTTTTCTAACTTGGAGAGTCTTGGACACCAGAGGCCTTGGCACTCAGGGTGTGGGACCTGCCGGGACAAACCTTACCTGTCTCCCCTCCTTGCCCAGCAAGGAGGTCACAGGCAGAAGGAAGCTGGTCATTTCTGTTCCAGATGGGGTGGGCACAGCCAGACTGGTCCATGGGGTGGGCACAGGCAGATTGTGTCCATTAGCTTTAAGATGGGCTGCTGGAAAGAGGCTGACTTGTTCATTGCCGTGAAGTCATTATCCCAGTCTCACCTGAAAACCCCTTAGAAATAGGACTCAGGCTTTCTAGAGCCCAGGAGAGGCCCCCAGACCTCTTCTGTCATTGGTTTGTCCGGGTGTCTATTACAAGCAGGGCTTTAGGATTCTCTTTGAGTTGAGTATGTGGTGACAGGCAGAGGTGGAGCTCTGAGGCGCATTACTGAAGACCTCTGCCAACCTGAAAGAAATGTCCTGCTATTACTGACTCTGGGGGTTCCTGTGAAGTGGCTTTGAGGGTGTGTCTTAGCCCATCATTCCCTGCACTATGCGAATGTTTGTCAAGCTTTCATGTGCTCACGGGTCCCCTGGGGAACTTGTTAAAATGCATATTTGGACGCAGCAGGTCTACGTGGGGGCCTGGGAACCTTGTGTTCCTAGCTGCTTGCCAGCTGCTGCTGCTGCTGCTTCTTGGACTGTATGCTGAGAAGACGGGCCCTAAAAACTTGCCCACACAGGAATTCTTTTCATTAGAGCTTAGGCTTGGATCGTGGAGAAGTGTGTGTTTGCTGAGTTAAACTTGACTGCAGCCCATCAGCAACAGGCAAATTAGGCAATGCTGTCTGGGTCACAGCTTTCTACTCTGAACCTGCAGAGCTGATGGGCACTGCTGGGGCCCCTGGCTTGTCAGAGCTGTGTTGACATGGTGAAACCCTGGGAACAAAAGAATGAATATAAGCATAGAATATCGATTTCCCCGCATTAAGAAATACCACTTGGTTGATCTAATCAACCTCTAATGTAAAGATGAGCTGTCTGTTAAGATCCCAAAGCATTTACAATTTTCTGTACTCTTTCACCTCCCTGTCTTTTGCTTGTGGGAATTGATAAAATACAGAGAAAAGCAGTGAACGCAACTAAGAAAATTAAGACTATTGACACCACAGAAGAGCAAATTCACAGTCCTAAGAGAAAGACTTGGCATGCGTAAATACCTCTGCATTGGCTTAATGTTGAATATCCTTCCATGTTTCAGATTCCATGCGTTTGCTGAGAGAACACAGTGTGTAGAGTTTCCTGTACTCCCCACAAAGGATGGTGGCAGTGTGCTGACTTGGAGTTCAAGGAAACTGAAAGGAAAACTCCCTCCAGGTACCTGGAATCCAAAAGAAGCAGCGTAGTTTATATGCCAAATAACCTCAGATGATCTGTATCATTGGGAAATAAAGAACTAGGTAGGGACGACCTGTGTCTTTTGCATTATTAAGGTGGTACAAGGGCAGAGTTAATGGATGTTAATGGTGAACTTGTCAGCCTAGCAACCAGGAACAAGTTTATTACCCAGGGAAATGGCCTAAGCAATATGTGTTTATTAACTTGGGAATCTTCTGGAGACATGGCCCTGGGCATGCCGATGCTGGAGTTAGTTTGTGGCAAGGCAGAGCTGTTCTGGGCATGGGTTAGCTGGAAGGTTGCCACGAGGGCGCCTGTGGTTCTTGGAGGGTTTCTGCTGTCCTTCCTGTGGTGAAAGCAGTACTTGTGGATACAGCGTGCGGGATTGACCGGTGCCTTGCAAGGACCAAGGCTGCACATTTTATGGAGGCTGAATGAACCTTCCCTTTCATTCAAGGAATGTGATCAGAGAGCCTCATGAGCACAGGGAATACGGTCACAAATCAGCAAGCAATAAGGCTGCCATGTGGGAAAACAGAAGCTTACTCAGAAAGCCAGGAGATGGGACTTTCTTTTGGGCTAATGAAATTGCAGTGTGGAAGACTCTGAATAAACACCGTTGAGAAAAGGAGGGAAGAAAGTTCCTGTTCGGGTGCTGGATGACCTGCCCGCCTTTTGTGTAGTTATCAAGCAGATTTCTAGTTTCAGTGTAAGGCATGGGCTACACTTTGGGCATAGGGGAGAAGCTGCAGCATACAGCTACTTGAAAGACTCCTCTGTTTACATAACAGTGTTGCAAAGTCCCAGGAGAAGGTGCTGGGACTGTAAGTAGGACAGGCAGTTGTGTTGCCAGGCTAGGTTGTCAGATGGACATAAAGGAAGAGGATGCCTCACAAGCCTGTTCCTCACACACTTTGTAGGTTCAAATTCTTTTTATTTCTTTTTTTGAGTTGGAGTCTCACTCTGTTGCCCAGACTGGAGTGCAGTGGCCGCTCCCGGCCACTGCAGCCTTGACCTGCTGGACTCCGGCGATCCTTCCACCTCAGCCTTCCAAATAGCTGGAACTACAGGCACGTGCTACCACAGGTTCAAATTCTTAATGCTCCAAAGCAGAGCTCACTGAGGGCACTACTTACTTCAGGTCACTTACACTCTTTTTTTGAGTCAGTCTCACTCTCTCGCCCAGGTTAGAATGCAGTGGTACCCTCGTGGCTCCCCGCAGCCTTGATCTCCTGGGCTCAGGCCATCCTTCTGTCTGTCTCCCGAATAGCTGGACCTATAGGCATGCACCACTATGCCTGGCTTATTATTTTTATTTTAGTAGAGAAGAAGTCTCACTATGTGGCCCAGGCTGGTCTCGAACTCTGGGCTCAAGCAATTCTCCCACCTCTGCCTCCCAAAGTGCTGGTATTACAGGCATGAACCACTGTGCCCAGCCTTACTGACACTTCTATTATGATCATGAAGTGGACATCTCCAGAGAATTTAAGAAAATGCCAATTGATGAACAAGATCGATGCTGATCTAAGAAAAAACTAACTGAGAATGTATGTCACACCTATTGGAAGTAATTTACAAGATTAAGCCTAGTGGACAATGATTTTATCAGAGTAAGGAATGTGAGATGTAACCAACTCCCCAAGGTGTGCCAACTACCATAAATGGGGCTTAACATTGGCCTTCTTATTCCTTGGCAACTTAGTTATAAAGGGAAACATAAACTGCATAGCTCACATTTTCAGCAACTACCATCTTCCCAACCATGTAAAGCATACAAATTACAGACAAAAGCATTTTTCTTAGAATAAAATATTCAGCATGGCTTGCCATCCTAAATCCATTTCAGTGATCATGTGTTCTAAATTTGGGGGAGAGTCTCAAATCCTAAATATGTGATCTTGCCTCCTCTATCCATCACAATGTCCCAGAAATGCCAACATGTCGAAGCCTACCTCTCCCACTCAAAAAACTTCCCGGAAATCTTGTCAGACTATTTTGGTTTGGAAAATGTGTGATTTCCAACCTGGGCCTCAGAGGCAGTTCTCTTCCCTTTACCCAATCAGTTCTCTCCCTGTGACCACACCAACTGTTGCCAAGTGTTTATCAGTATCAGTTTCCTCAGGCCACCTTCCAGTTAGGGGGTGGGGTGTGCCTTCTTGGGAGAATATTTTGTCTCCTCTTGTATAGAAGACAGAAACTAACAAGTAAGGAGTTAGAGAGGCTTAGCTCAGAGTACATATCTGTCAATCTGAAAGGAATTTCCTGCTATTATTGACTTTTTTGATCCCAGACTATAACTTAACATGACCCCATGCTCTGTACTGTTGCAAAAAACAAAAACAAAACAAAAACAAAAAACAAAACAAAACAATTCAACAACTCTATAATCAAGGTAAAGGATATTTTTTGAAATTGTAGTAGATTATACCTAACATAAAATCTGTTGTCTTAACCATTTTTAAGTGTACATACAATTTTCAGTAGTGTAAAACTTATTCACATCATGGTGCAACCATCATCACCACCCATCTCCAGAACTTCTCTTATTTTTCCCAAACTGAAACTCTGTACCCACTGAACAATAACTTCCTATGTCTTTAGTCTATTCATGCTGACATAGCAAAATACCCAAGCCTGGGTAATTTATAAAGACAAGTTTATTTCTCACAGTCTGGAGGCTAGAAACTCCAAGATCAAGGGCCAAGCAGATTTGGTGTCTGGTGAAGGCTCACTCTCTGCTTCCAAGATGGCACCTTGTTGCTGCATCCTCTGGAGGGAAAGAATACTGTTCCTCAGATGACAGAAGAGATGGAAGGATAAAAAAGGACAAACTAGACACTCCCTTCAAATTCTTTTATAAGAGCATTAACCCATTTCTGAGGGCCGTCCCCTTCTGACTTAATCACTGCCCAAAAGGCCCTACTTTTTTTGTTTTCAATAACTTTAGGGGTACAAAGAAATTTGGGTTATGTGAGTACATTGTATAGTGGCAAAGAAATCTGGGCTTTAAATACTTCCACCTGTGTACTTTGTACTTGACAGGTGATTTTTCATCCCTCCACCCACTCCCCCCCCCGCCCCATTCTGAGTCTCCAATATCCCATCTCTTAATATTATCACACTGGGTAGTAGGTTCCAACATAAGAATTTTGGAGAGACATGTACATTCAAATCAAGCCAGGTTCAGTGGCTCAGCCTGCAATCCCACGCTTTGGGAGGCTGAGGTGAGTGGATTGCCTGAGCCTGTGGGTTCAAGACCCACCTGGGCAACTTGACGAGAC